AATTTTTCTTTCGTATTTCCGATGGCCAAGCCATTTCTCCAGAGTGTGGCTAACTTCGACACCTCCATTCACTTGTGGCCGACCAAGGCAAACGCCTGACCCATTCGAAGCGACACTAGAGACCCCAAAAAGAGGTCATAAAGAGCTAAATATCTACAGGAACACATTATCGAACTCATGTCGTGCCATTTCATGCGTGTATGACTACAATTTGCTAGTCTTCGAAACAATGGCACGGGCATTGTCTCAGAACGAGATGAGAAATTGACGCAAGGACGACTGGTTGGAGCCATATATTGTGTATATTTGTGCTTAAAATCAAATTTCATGATATGAATACATCCAACTAGGTGTCTATGTCTCATTGGAAGGTCCCCAAATGCCAGGGGACTCACCGAGCACCTTGATGAAGGTATGTAATCATTTTCAAGTTTAATATGACTCACAGGCTCGTAATAGATATAATAGAGACTGATTTGGACAAGAAGACACTTAGTTGGGCTTCACCTTGAAAGAATGGGATTCACCCCACCCGAATAAGGAGCCGACACTTGAAGAGGAACCGAAGCCACAGAGACAGTTACATTGAGGATGATGGTGTGTCCTAACTCCTTTGAAAGGGGTCCATGCACAAGCTCGAGTATGGTAAGCCTTGCCCACGCCGCAGGCTTATTTGGACCCAGCCATTCCGAACAAAACTCGGCGTCCCCGCCATTGCACATCAATTTGCCAAGCTTCTTCGCGTGCTTCATGTCATAAAGCTTATGTAGAGGACGATTATCTCTGGTAACAGTCAGAGGACCTTACTCTCCTACCACCCTGTCCTCTTCCTGTCTCTCTGTGACTTCGACACCCTGTTTCCCGGTAAGGCTAGTCCTTTTTATACTATTTATTATGGAAAAGCTGATAAATCCAGTGTCATCATGCTTACAAGGCGTTCGAAACGACCAGCCACCTCAACCGTAGTCTCGGTTATACACCCAAATGACGAGCTCAAGGTCATTCTTCCACCTCGAAAGCAAAAACCATCCAAAATCACACTCCTTCCGCCCGAAATCCTCTCCAGTATCTTTGCCAACGTACTATCTCTTTGCAACTACGACTATGTCGGGTCTATCTCGAACAATAGGACAGCCATCATGCTCGTATCAAAGCTTTTCCACCAACTTGTTGTCTCAAATCCATTCCTGTGGGCATTCATACCGGTTTCTGGGCCGATGCCAAACAGGCCAGCCATTGAGCGAACGATCTCCTTCACCGGGCAAGTCATACCGCTCCATTTTCATTTTGACTTGCGCACCCAAGATGAAGAGGAGGAATGGTGTACCCCACAAATGATGGAGTGTGATTTTGGATGGTTTTTGCTTTCGAGGTGGAAGAATGACCTTGAGCTCGTCATTTGGGTGTATAACCGAGACTACGGTTGAGGTGGCTGGTCGTTTCGAACGCCTTGTAAGCATGATGACACTGGATTTATCAGCTTTTCCATAATAAATAGTATAAAAAGGACTAGCCTTACCGGGAAACAGGGTGTCGAAGTCACAGAGAGACAGGAAGAGGACAGGGTGGTAGGAGAGTAAGGTCCTCTGACTGTTACCAGAGATAATCGTCCTCTACATAAGCTTTATGACATGAAGCACGCGAAGAAGCTTGGCAAATTGATGTGCAATGGCGGGGACGCCGAGTTTTGTTCGGAATGGCTGGGTCCAAATAAGCCTGCGGCGTGGGCAAGGCTTACCATACTCGAGCTTGTGCATGGACCCCTTTCAAAGGAGTTAGGACACACCATCATCCTCAATGTAACTGTCTCTGTGGCTTCGGTTCCTCTTCAAGTGTCGGCTCCTTATTCGGGTGGGGTGAATCCCATTCTTTCAAGGTGAAGCCCAACTAAGTGTCTTCTTGTCCAAATCAGTCTCTATTATATCTATTACGAGCCTGTGAGTCATATTAAACTTGAAAATGATTACATACCTTCATCAAGGTGCTCGGTGAGTCCCCTGGCATTTGGGGACCTTCCAATGAGACATAGACACCTAGTTGGATGTATTCATATCATGAAATTTGATTTTAAGCACAAATATACACAATATATGGCTCCAACCAGTCGTCCTTGCGTCAATTTCTCATCTCGTTCTGAGACAATGCCCGTGCCATTGTTTCGAAGACTAGCAAATTGTAGTCATACACGCATGAAATGGCACGACATGAGTTCGATAATGTGTTCCTGTAGATATTTAGCTCTTTATGACCTCTTTTTGGGGTCTCTAGTGTCGCTTCGAATGGGTCAGGCGTTTGCCTTGGTCGGCCACAAGTGAATGGAGGTGTCGAAGTTAGCCACACTCTGGAGAAATGGCTTGGCCATCGGAAATACGAAAGAAAAATT